ATCTGGGCGTGGGCGTCTCGTTTCTCGACTCGAAACCTCAAGGTCACAGGCTTAGAACACCCGTTGCTGTGTTTAGCTTGGTCACATGACCTCTGGCTCGCTCCACCCTGGTGCTAGCTGACCGGCCGTCGACCGGCATAAACATCTGTGCGTGGGCGTCTCGTTTCTCGACTCGAAACCTCAAGGTCACAGGCTTAGAACACCCGTTGCTATGTGTTTAGCTTGGTCACATGACCCTGGCTTGCTCCACCCTGGTGCTAGCTGACCGGCCGTCGACCGGCATAAACATCTGGCTGTGGGCCTCTCGTTTCTCGACTCGAAACCTCAAGGTCACAGGCTTAGAACACCCGTTGCTATGTGTTTAGCTTGGTCACATGAACTTTGTCTGGCTCCACCATGGTGCTAGCTGACCGGCCGTCGACCGGCATAAACATCTGGGCGTGGGCGTCTCGTTTCTCGACTCGAAACCTCAAGGTCACAGGCTTAGAACACCCGTTGCTGTGTTTAGCTTGGTCACTTGACCCTGGCTTGCTCCACCCTGGCGCTAGCTGACCGGCCGTCGACCGTCATAAACATCTGGGCGTGGGCCTCTCGTTTCTCGACTCGAAACATCAAGGTCACAGGCTTAGAACACCCGTTGCTGTGTTTAGCTTGGTCACATGACCCTGGCTTGCTCCACCCTGGTGCTAGCTGACCGGCCGTCGACCGGCATAAACATCTGGGCGTGGGCGTCTCGTTTCTCGACTCGAAACCTCAAGGTCACAGGCTTAGAACACCAGTTGCTATGTGTTTAGCTTGGTCACATGACCTCTGGCTCGCTCCACCCTGGTGCTAGCTGACCGGCCGTCGACCGGCATAAACATCTGGGCGTGGGCGTCTCGTTTCTCGACTCGAAACCTCAAGGTCACAGGCTTAGAACACCCGTTGCTATGTGTTTAGCTTGGTCACATGACCTCTGGCTCGCTCCACCCTGGTGCTAGCTGACCGGCCGTCGACCGGCATAAACATCTGGTCGTCAGGATCTCGTTTCTCGTCTCGAAACCTCAAGGTCACAGGCTTAGAACACCCGTTGCTGTGTTTAGCTTGGTCACATGACCTCTGGCTCGCTCCACCCTGGTGCTAGCTGACCGGCCGTCGACCGGCATAAACATCTGGGCGTGGGCGTCTCGTTTCTCGACTCGAAACCTCAAGGTCACAGGCTTAGAACACCCGTTGCTGTGTTTAGCTTGGTCACATGACCTCTGGCTCGCTCCACCCTGGTGCTAGCTGACCGGCCGTCGACCGGCATAAACATCTGGGCGTGGGCGTCTCGTTTCTCGACTCGAAACCTCAAGGTCACAGGCTTAGAACACCAGTTGCTATGTGTTTAGCTTGGTCACATGACCTCTGGCTCGCTCCACCCTGGTGCTAGCTGACCGGCCGTCGACCGGCATAAACATCTGGTCGTCAGGATATCGTTTCTCGAATCGAAACCTCACGTTCACAGGATCAGAACACCCGTTGCTGTGTTTAGCTTGGTCACATGACCCTGGCTTGCTCCACCCTGGTGCTAGCTGACCGGCCGTCGACCGGCATAAACATCTGGGTGTGGGCGTCTCGTTTCTCGACTCGAAACCTCAAGGTCACAGGCTTAGAACACCAGTTGCTATGTGTTTAGCTTGGTCACATGACTTCTGGCTTGCTCCATCCAGGTGCTAGCTGACCGGACGTCGACCGGCATAAACATCTGGGCGTGGGCGTCTCGTTTCTCGACTCGAAACCTCAAGGTCACAGGCTTGGAACACCCGTTGCTATGTGTTTAGCTTGGTCACATGACTTCTGGCTTGCTCCATCCAGGTGCTAGCTGACCGGACGTCGACCGGCATAAACATCTGGGTGTGGGCGTCTCGTTTCTCGATTCGAAACATCAAGGTCACAGGCTTAGAACACCCGTTGCTGTGTTTAGCTTGGTCACATGTCCTCTGGCTTGCTCCACCCTGGTGCTGGCTGATCGGCCGTCGACCGGCATAAACATCTGGGTGTGGGCGTCTCGTTTCTCGACTCGAATCCTCATTTCCCCAAAATTTACTATAGCGGCCTCCCCAAAATGGGCCAAAATTTCTCCAAAGTTGGCAGCTCGGGTTGTGATGCAGTTGATGGTTTCAGCGATATATGTATTATTCAACTTCACCGTCTTTTCTCGATTTCATCACCAATTGAAAGCTGGTTTGTTCTCACACATGGTAGGCTGTTGCTGATGATATCTGACCATCGAGCATTGAGACAAATAGTTATTAATACTTGGACTGTTTTGATGACGATTATGATAGTAGAATGGGTTTATAAAGTTAAAAGTTAACATACTTAAATGTAGGTGAGGTGTTTAAAAGCAACATGTTAATATGACGTCAATTTAAACTTGAGTGTTTTACTGTTGACAGAATACAGTGACTGGGAGATCAGAGATCCATTAGACTGTTTTGTATTTAGGAAGGTGTATTTCCCTTAGATGTTAATTGATTTCGCTAACGAATAACACAATGATTTGTTTTCTTTATCTGAGATAAGTTGAATTGAACATTTTCTATAAAACTAGTTCTCCGCGTACACTAAACGTATGACAAAACTAAAGGAGCACATACGTCCATTCAAACACGATAATACTAATATCAAGATCTACAAATTGTTACTGTTCTGTTATATAAGTTACTTGAAAGGTTTAAAAAATTAAACATGAATAAACTTAATTGTAGGAAATGTAATTTTGACTGATATTAAGTAGAACAAATAACCAGCAATCAGTAGTTTTTATTCTCACTATTTCTTTTTCTTCAGCTGTTTAACTAGATTATAGAGACCCCCATATATCAGAAGAAGCACAGAATACAGTGGACGCCTCAGAAAACTCCAGGCATTTCTTGCATTGTACTTTAATATGATGTACTTTAGATATTCACTGTTTACTGAATGGAATTTCTTTTGTCGTCGACTTTTCTTTCACTGTGTTCAAAAGTTTATCTACTCAATTTTGCATACGTGTATATGATCGAAAGCGTATTGCTAATTACTACATAACTAGTTTTATGTAGACTAATTACGATGTAAACAAGTATAGATATTGAAGGGACAAATGGTCGCACAATATTGCAAATTGAATGAAATTATGAATGTAAACTATTAGATGCCAACTCAGGAGTTTTAATATTAACCACTTCTTTTGAGACCTAACGTTTCTGGGTTCGATCTCTGTTGCGATCGTGAATACGGAGTTCAGTAATAAGAAACAACAGTTGCCCATTACTCACTACTTTGTCTACCTTAAGCTAGTCCTTATAAAATAAACGTTAATACTACTAATTGGTAGTGAGTTTCATTATATGAGTAAACTATTTTGTACTCAACTCAATTTGATCTGGCTTTAATATTTCAGCGCCAAAGAATTCGGTAAACTCCTGGATATTTATTCATCACAGTTTGGTCATGATTCCCGAAAAGAAGAGACTTAACTTGTCTAAACAATATTTCCACTAAACACAATGGTGAATCTCGAATCTGTAATTTAATCAAATGTAAATCACAAACCTTTTAAAACATAGTTTGTCTTGCTAATTCATGATGTATTTGTCTGGAGATTCATGTACAGAATTCCAACTACAAAACAACAGTTATTTACTACGAATAATGTTCTTGCATGAACGAGATAATGTCTGATATTCATCGTCATCACAGTTTTACATGGTTAACGTTTCACCTTAATATTTATAATCTTATTCCATTCATTGAGTTCATGTTTACGCAACTGTGGACTCATCAGCAAATGTGCTTTAATAGTAAGCTAAGTTAGATATAGTCAATATTCTTTTGAATACAAACATTAACCATTGAACATCTCCGACACTATGGTATACCTGAGAGAATCGTCAACTTCAATCGGAATTCATACGACGGAAGACAGCTGACAGATCCAGTCCAAGTGACGATAGAAGTTAGACAAGTCTGCCTAGTCTCGACCCTTTTCTTTCTTCTAGTGGTTGACTGGATTATGAAGACCTGAGCATATTAGATGAAGCAGGGAATACAATGAACAGGTAGGATGCAACTAGACGATTTGGACTTCGTAGATAACTCAGCTCTTATACTTCATACAGAGCAACAACTGAAGGTGAAGAAAGCCTCTGCATCAGTAGGTCACAACAAGCACAACCCAACCACACTTGGAAAAGCTATAAGAGAGATGAAAACTTCCACTTACTTGAGCAGCATCACTGATAAACAATGAGGATCGGATGCAGATTTGAAGACATAGACTAGAAAAGCAAGTGCAACACCCCTACAGTGAACATTACTTACTGACATCTGCTACTCCAAATGGAGCATAGACTGCCGACCAGCATTCTCCAACCGACTCTTCTCTGGGTCTTCCTTTTTATTTCTATCCAATTATTGTTCATTATTCTCATATCTACCTACATTTCTCGGCGTACTGTGTTCTTTGGTCTTCCTCTTCTCCTTTGACCTTGAGGAACACTTTGTGCCGGGGATCGGAAACAAATATCTAAAGAATGAATAGCAATTTTCAAGAACTGGAAAGGGAAGCTCAGGAAAAATTTGGGTTTAGAATTCTGGTCGACGATCTATGCTCCACCAAGCGTAACAGGTGTATGTGTGTCTGTAAGTGTGTAAATATATTTACTGACTAATGACATATTTCATTATTATGTGCTGTTTGCAATATTATCGTAAATCTTCTTGTCCTACTGAAAATAGTTGAGTATTTACCACAACAATCAGTGTTATGTCAATATATTTATTCCGTTAATTTCCCCCTGTCAAATTCTATTAAAACTCATGTCAAGGTTTGCTCAATGGTAACAGATATAGGTTTTGAATTCAGGATATCCACGTATATTTTAAATTGTTTTCAATTGGACCAAAACTACACATTGAGCCTAAATACATTTTACGGTGTAAAAATTATATCTTACTATTCAATGAATGGGTGTTTAAACAGTCTACAAGAATGTTATATAACAGTGTATATTATTAGAGAAAAGAAAACAATAAAAAAATCAAACATTCCACACATGACAATTCATGACAACGTAAACACAAGATGCAATGATTTGAAAACAATCGTTTTATTTCGTTATCTTGCCACCATGTTTATTGAACCATTCATCACTTTTATCTGAGGCTATAGCTGATTGTAGTAGATTATCCGCTTGTGAATCCACTTGTGACAACTGTTTAAAAGCTTCATCTCCAACAAAACAGATTTCATGACCATCCTAAATAAGAGGTAATTAAGTAAACAGAAAAGAAGATTCACACTCAAGTCAGTACAAAGTTAGATCGCAGTGAAACTCTGGTATAATGGATGGTTTAAAATAACTTGTTTTCCTCTCACATATATTATGATAATATATTAACACGATGATAATAATACTAATCACGTTATATCAGAACCAGGATTCACGATCCAAAATACAGAACCACATCAACACTAGATAACACTTTATGCAATACAATTACAAACACTCACGCTCAGTGAGTTCGGAGTAGAAATCAATGACAAGAAGGTGGTTTACATATTTGATAGTTCGTAGGCTGTGGCTGCTCGTTCACGCTCAACGACCAATCATCTCTTACTTCCAACACCACAAATCACATTCATTTTGTGATGGGCTAATGACACTATCCTATCGCTTGAGCTAAATAAGATAGATTGTGATTATAGTTAACATCATAATTATAGACGTCCAAGTTGTTAAACAACAGAGTAATATTTCGAAAAATTGCACAATGAACAGTCGAATCAAGCATAGTAAATAAATAAACATCAAATGAGTCATAAGTCGCGCGTACGAAAAAAACAATTTGTACAATGATGTTGATTGCCACGGAGCTCAAATTTCCTTTATTCTACTGCAAGTTTCCTCTTTTTATGGAGAGACTGCAACTACTTTTGTTATGATACCAGTGTAAGATAAACAATGGTTAAACACAGATAGACGCGTTTCCTCTATTTCATTCATTTGTTAGTATTTTCTACTTAATTATTTATCAAGTATAAGTCCATGTACCTGGCTTTGATCACAAATATAAGTGTAAGGGCTAATGACACTGATCGTTTGATTAAACTGAAAAAGGTTCGGCGGAGTTCGAACCCGCGACTACGTGAATTAAAGTCGAATGATCTTATTATTTAATCACTGACCTATTTAGTCAACAACTGACATAATTCCTTTTTCTGTGACGTTCTTGTAAAACATAAGTGTCGCTCACTCAAAATCAGACAATTACCCACAATGCATAACGTATAAATAAGCCATTTTAATTGACTCAGGTTCGCATAAACATTAGGCGACCTAACTTTACGACTGGAATAACCTGTGGAGTTACTATCAAACTTGGTGAGCCAATAGTTCTTAAATATCCCCAAATTATGTTGCAACTTGTTTTTTCAACATTTTATGTATTGTTGCTACTGAACTGTAAATATAGTTCAGGTTTATTTGTATCTTAGTAAACCCAACACATTAGAATTACAAATTTACAGATTTCGAGTTAAACGTCCTTATCTTCTGTCTTTCGCCTAATGATAACTCCATTCATTGGCATTGCATTTGAGTTTAATTAGAAAGTTGAGTTGATATACTCACCTTCTTATTAGGCATACTACTTTGTATAAGTCAAAAGCCTAAAATCCCAGTCTACACACCGAGCATCGCCACAGCTTTATCACGTACGATTTACATTTTCTCATTAATCTTGTTGAATTGTCTTCTAAAGACCTACTATAACGTACTGACAGGTATAAAGAAGATATATTATTCCAGTTAGCAATTAGGAAATTATGGAAATTGCTCAATAGCTTCAATTGTACAAAAGTGATACAAATCGACAAAAGAATAAACCTACTGGATCAGCTAAAATAATCACTTGAACAGTAGCTTTTCCTGGCGTATCCAAGCTGACTAGACGAGTAAGAATCGTTTCATTTTGTGAATCCATTGTTTGTTGTAAGATTGGTAACTATTGATAAATTATTAATTATGTTTAAAATAAGTGTTACTTGACTAGTTGGGCATGCAAAAGCTATACGACCAAATGCGCTGGCATGATCAATGGGCTTTTGAATGGAAATTAGTTTTAAACTACACTGATTTGGTGAATAACAAAACACCGCTTCATCTGAGCTAGATGATACAAGTGTCATACTAAGTTTGTGAGACCAATAATCTGTATAATAATAGAAGAAACTTTTTAGGAAGGAGAATAGAAATACAGCATACCAATGGATCGTTTGAGATTTGAAGTAGATAAAGCCACCATTTGAACTGGATCCCCGTTACTATCACTGTTATGCACCCAAAATGAATATCCACCAGGAGCTTCCACTTTTACTGAATTCGACTCTTTCAATAAGATAGGCCATGATCCACCGATAATTCTTGAATATGCATCCTTATTATGAATACGAATATACTGTTATCGTTTAGGCGAGATGAAACGGACAAAAAAACACACCTGGAAATCATTACCAAGTTGATAAGCACCAATCCCATAATTATAAGTCAACTCAACAACAAAATGATTATCTTCAGGTCCATAACCTATCATGGTTTTGCTCCACTTCCCATCATACGGTCTAAATGAATGATGTAAATCAACATTGATTAAGGTTAATTACCCGTTACATGAAGCCTTACAACCTTCAGTAAATTCTTCATGTCGTAACACCTGTGAAGTGATCAAGCAACAAGTAAATAAGAAACAAATAATGACCAAGTTATGAAAAAAATATTCCAGCCATCATACCATATAGAATAACCTCAACTCTTAGATCCATTTACCCATGGATCCAAAATGAAATTAAAGAACTAATAAGACTAAATTTGTAGTCGTAATTCTTTACCGGCTAGACTATAACATCTAATAGTCAAGTATCTAGTTTTTCAGCCGGTTTCGATTAATCAATGATATGTCAGGAAAAGAGGGTCGTTTCGCTAATTGACAAACTAAATATCATCCTTGTTTTAAATAAAACCAAGTATAACTACAGTACGGGAATTATTTTCAAGATAATTCTTAAGACTTCGTAGATCACTAGTCGCGACAACCATTGTTTGATAAATCCCGACTGTATATACATTTCAGAAGACAATGCGAAGCATCGACTATATTTTAGCACTGTACAGCTCATATCCTAAAGCCACAGTCACACAAAGTGAATGCGAGCAGGAATGCGAATGAGAGTGAATGCGAACTAGGGGCGAGTGAATTGATAAGATTTTAGAAGCACATATATATAGGAAAGCGAATGAATCATCGAGAGATTTAAGCAACTGTAGTGAACGAGGACTTAAGTGGGGAAAACCAAATGTACTTTAACACAATATTACAGAATATCTTGGTAAAACCTGAGAATCATACAGCAAAACCTCATTTGCAAAATACTCGTCAATTTTCTCTAACTTGGTTGCTTGTTTGTTTCCATACCAATTTCACTCTTCGCTTCGATTTTCTTAACTTTCTGTCGTCAGTCATTCCACTTTCGATCAATGATATATACTACTTATATCTGTCGACATTAATAGCACATACGGCACAACCAACACTTAGACTAGCAAGAACGATGTGGGTAGACTGTAACACGTGATCAAACTAATAACAAGCGTCTGAATATAGGAAAATATACTTCCTGGTTGACATCGTATTGGCTTAGGCGCTCAAATTCTAGTCACTGTCCGCGTTTCGTACTCACTTCAACCACAAAATAGTTACATAAATTTGAGTTACGTTTCATTAGCTACTTTGACAAGAGAAGCCGTCAAGTTACAATTAGCCGTTATTTTTCACACTTTTAATTTAGTATGAACATTTCACTAGGTTTATTCTCTCTAAGAGTAAACATTTAATCGAATCAACATAGTTAGTATTTATTATGGTAATACAGTTTCAATCTATTTGTTATTCACTAGTGATCAAATCATACAGTGTTCAATTTTATGCAGCCTTTAAACGAATATGGATTACATGAGTACTATATTTTTCAATGATAAATATCTCAAGAAGAAATATGGCTCTTGATACGTCGACCTAAATTCTAATCTAAAGTTATTTTTAATTCTCTAATAAAGAACATATTCGCCAAAACATTTTCGGGTGTGAAAAATAAAAAAAGCTTTGTTGAGTGAAGTATGGCATTTCATCAAACCCTAATGGTTAGAAGTTAAGCAATATATAGATTAATACAGTTCTAACCAAAAACAAGAGAACCCAACTCTAACACAGCCATATTTTAGTTTGGGCGCTCCTAGTGAATTATGAAAACAACCCTTTACTAGCCACCATTATGCATCAATAAATAGTTACATACAACTCTCATCCTAGACAACCTAGTCGACGACAAATTACAGTCTTATCCACTGAATAATCATCTTTACCTTATACACTACATCTATTATTTATTTATTTATTTATTTGAACACATAAATATTGGTGTGTGTGTGTGTGTGTGTGTTTGAACACACTACATCTAACTTCCATATTACTCATCTTATGGTTTACTTTAAATGACAGGAAAGTCACAATTTCAAAAATAAAATTCATTGATAGAGATGAACAAAACTACTATACAGATGATAATTTTTGCCCTAATAGCTTGAATTTTACACAACTACAGAAAAAATAATTATACTACTAATAAAAATGTTACAAACTTTATAGGAAAACGTATTGTGTTTCCATTTTGAGATTGACGGTTTCAATTGAACTATATTAAAAGGAACCAGGCAAGTTTCAGTAGGTGACTAATTCTTTTTACTAATTGCAAACCATAAGATACTAAGCTTGTTGATCATTATATTTATGTCTGATCTATGGAGCCTCTTACTTTTATCCAATTTCTGTTATATAAGTAGTAATATAAAGTTGAAAAAAGACTGGACAGTTATATTGTCTCTATCAATATTTTTTAAAAATCCAATATACTAACATCAGGTCACACTTCTAACCGACATTTTGGTTGACATAAGTTTTATCACTATACAAAATATCATCTCTACAGCTTCAATGTAGAATTAATTAAAATATAGTAGTATTTATGATGTAAAGATTTACAAAATAACACATCATTTAGTTGCCGGATACCATCAGCAACAGAATTCTCTGGGAGAGAACAAACCAACTTCCATCTGAAGAGGAAATTAGGAAAAGACGATGGAAATAGATAGAAGATACATTACACAAATCATCAAACTACATCACGAAGCAAGCCCTAACTTGGAATCCTGAAGAGAATTGGAAAACAGGAAGGCCAAAGAACACATTACATCGGGAAATAGAAGCAGATATGAAAAGGATGAATAACGACTAGAAAAAACTGGAAAGGATTGCCCAGGACTGGATGTAGAGTGCTGTTTGGTCGCCTATGTTCCTCTACCAGAAGTAACAGGCGTAAGGTAAGTAAGTAAGTAAGTAAATAAGTAAGTAAGTAAGTAAGTAAGTAAGTAAGTAAGTAAGTAAGTAAGTAAGTAAGTAAGTAAGTAAGTAAGTAAGTAAGTAAGTAAGTAAGTAAGTAAGTAAGTAAGTAAGTAAGTAAGTAAGTAAGTAAGTAAGTAAGTAAGTAAGTAAGTAAGTAAGTAAGTAAGTAAGTAAGTAAGTAAGTAAGTAAGTAAGTAAGTAAGTAAGTAAGTAAGTAAGTAAGTAAGTAAGTAAGTAAGTAAGTAAGTAAGTAAGTAAGTAAGTAAGTAAGTAAGTAAGTAAGTAAGTAAGTAAGTAAGTAAGTAAGTAAGTAAGTAAGTAAGTAAGTAAGTAAGTAAGTAAGTAAGTAAGTAAGTAAGTAAGTAAGTAAGTAAGTAAGTAAGTAAGTAAGTAAGTAAGTAAGTAAGTAAGTAAGTAAGTAAGTAAGTAAGTAAGTAAGTAAGTAAGTAAGTAAGTGTTGGGATATTCAGGAAAATATCCCAGAAATTATCCTATTTAGCCTAATGCTATTCTTGGACTTGAACATGGTGTTATTTTCTTATTGGTCAGTACTTATTTCACGTGTCATTTTCCTACTGGCCAATATTGTACAATGTTATTTTCTATTTTATGGTATGATGTGGTTTGTTTGACTGGTATATAAACAAAGTATGTTTGAAATATAATGATTCATACATCCGAGGCTGTGACTTGCGTTCTGGACTCAACTGCTGGGCTAGATAGGGAAGCGGGACCAATCAGAACCCTAGGTCGTTCTACGTGTTTGCGCGTCTTTGGTCCGATCGATAATTCGCTACCCTCAAATCTGCTGCCGTTCAGTTATAACAGTACGTAAGTAAGTAACATCATCTAGTTAACATGAATCCATAAAAATTTCCAAGCTCAGAATGACTTAAATATTTCTAAACTAGTGTATAGAAAATAACTGGCCGAAGTGATAAAAAACTATTGTGAATAATCGTTTGAATTAACAAACACAAAATGGTTAGAAAAATAATTATACATTTATCGAATAATTAAACTCATGTGTGTGTGTGCACTAGAAAACGTGTAGTCAAGTGAACTTGTAAACTATTTTTAAAAATGTATGATTCAACTAAACATCAATAGAATAAAGCAAAACCAGCTAAAGTTTGCACTATTATCACTTACATACACGCATATATATATATATATATATATATATATATATATATATATATATATATATATATATATATATATATATATATATATATATATATATATATATATATATATATATATATATTCATCTAGAGTGCACACATTAACATACCTTCATTCCAAGAATCCGTTTGTAAAAATCAATCGTTTCATTACGATTGGCCACTTTGAAAACAAAGTGTAAAGCCCTTGTATGGTTCATAGGAGGTGACAATTTAAAGTTGATCAAAATATCTAATTCCTTGAATTGAAATCCACTGATATAAAAATTATTTAAAATAAAAGTCAAAGATTACAGAGTCTAAAATTAGGAACAATGTGGTTATGATTTACATTTTGGATGAAATAAGTAGTAGTAGTACATTATGTAAAACAAGTATAAACAGGAAATAAAAACGTGCATCAACAAATAAATATAAACAACGTTAAACCTAGCACGAAGATGTGGAGGTACCACTTTACAAGCTTCAGAAACAAAGTGATAAGAAAAGTAAATGTTTAACATGTACGGAGAACAGAGGGATTCCACTGCTAGCCACATTCTATCATTTCTGTGTAAATGAGCACAAAAACTCAGGTGAAACGAACAGAATCAGTGAATAAAATTTATTAAGCAATCCCGTATTTAAAACTTTAGTAAAGGCAATCAATGACCAGATCACCTTCACTGAAATTAATTTTATCAATATCACCAATTCAATGGTTGTATATTACAGCTGTATTGAGGACTCTCTTGACACGGCTTATAAAAACAGTTAGTAAAACTATAAACGAAGTCTATGACCTGTCCTAGTTTCCTTCACTTTTCTAGGTTACTTCTATACCATTCAACATAGCCTGGGTTGATGAATTTTTAAACTACGTAGTTCGATAAGTACCAGTCAGCTAACACAAACTTATGAACTGAGACAACTGTGGATCCGTCTAATCTACTCTACCTTACATTAGAACATTGAGGGAAAATCAACAAAATGATAGAGAGAGAATGGGAGACAACACCAAAAAGTAACGAAACTTTTGGTAAGAAAGAAATGACTCGAAAATAAAAATACGATCAAAGAATGAAACTTTGGGAATTTTCAACAACTCCAGATTTGGATGATGGACAATGGATATAACTGCATCATTGAGAGGTTTGGCGTCAACCTATTCAAAGTCTCCAACCAGTCACTACGAGTATGATGTAGGTTCCAAGCTCCTACGTAGACAAAAATTAATAGACGTCTTACTACTTTTACCTAGAACTCTACATCTAAGGTCGAAATCCATGACATACTGGTTCACCTGTTATGACTTATGGTAGCCTACTGATATCATGCGACAAAGCTGCCAATCAGAGTCTAGTTTCTATGATTTAGCGCCCATGTGTTAACCAACGACACGTCCAACAAGTACTAGTAACCTTGAGTCAACTGCCAAGACCTTACTGATCTACGATTCCATAGCTTCTCTTTCTGCCCTGCAGTTTGAGTCCAGAAGTCAGCAATCAGCCTCCACTAATACTACATTTCAAGCAAGCGTACTGTATATGCAGGCATACCGGACCACATAACAATAAAATGAAAAATAACAATTGTGTGATCAAGCCAAGAAGCAACTATGAGTAGGGGCGACGGCAAATAGCAAACTGGTAATAGATGAGGAATGGTATATCGTATAACAGTGGGCAATGGGTAAATTGAAAGCTTGTGACAAAAGGCATATCTATACTAGCTAGTTTAGAAAGGGTACCTAATCCCATTTGACAGATTTTTATCGCCGTTTGTTCCGATTAATCAAACAGTGTTTAAAATACTGGCCTCTATAATTATCTGACACTTACGTAGACTTATAAAAATCAAACTCGGGAAGAGCAGGTTAGTTTCAGTCCTAAATGTGAAAACATCGACTAAAAATTTATTCTTTATCAGGTTATAGAACACAAACATACAATCTCCGTCTATGACTGCATTTCCTGACACTAAGGAGGGATTCGACTGCAATGACCAAGAGGTACTCTGGCAGTATTTATCACTGAAAAGCACACCGAAGCAGTACACAAACATTATTTAGGCTCTCTACTCAAACACAATTTATCGATTCTGAGCTCATGACTCACCGTCACCAGAATTTTCAACTACAAATGGTGTTCATGAAGATTTATCACTTAATCCCTTGAAATTTCGTCATAGACATCCCCTTATAAACGACACGGCCCGGTGAGTCATCTACTTTGCATATCTTGTAAGTTTTATGAGTATTGCTGTTTTTGTGTGTGACAAAATCTGGACATGCATTCATAAAGTTCAATTATTACCTGTTACCTTCCGCTGCCTATGAGGTAGACAAGATATCTGTCTTTCAACCACAACGCATGTATACTGTGAAGAATCCAGCTCAATTTTACATTACATTCGCAAACCATGGTCTCTGAAAGTATAAGACATACACAGGTTGCAGATATTTGATCAAAGGTCTCTTCAGAGCATTGTTCGTGTCTTGTGAAACAACTGAGACTGACACAAGACGAAGGTGGAAAATTGGTTAATAAGTTCAGAATTCTTCATCGAGTAAGATGTTTATGATACATGCTAATAATCGCTAACCATTACCTACCTGGACGTGCAACGTTTGATGACATAAGAATAGGTTAGAAGAAAGTTAGGGGTGGCCAAACCGAAACGTGGTATCTGTCTGTGAAGTTATCGACGGTTGGTCTGAACTACGTAAGAAGGTGACAAATACTTGGTTAGGCTTCGCCTGACAACCACGATCAACAGTTGGAGATTTTAGATAACATGACTTAATGTCTTCTCGAATTTGAATTCCAGTATTCCTTCACAAATATCTTTCTACTCTATATTTTTGAACCATATTTTTAACGCTTAGTTTCCCCATTGTAGTTGCTACTAAATTGTTTTTGATCAGTTTATCCCTCCATTTTTTTACTTTCGTTCATTCATTATTTATTTATTTGAACACATAAATATTGGTACAAGAGGGCACCAAATATACATGCGCCACACAAAACAATGATAATTTGAAGAGAAGGAAAAAAGGTGAGGAGCGTTAAAAAAAGAACAATAACGAAGAGAATAGTGTAAGGTAGTATAATAATAATAATGGGGGAAACAGAAACGCACAGTCAGAAGAGATCTTTCAGTTAAGGAAGAAGCAACTACTTTTTATGAAGAAAGTAACAGAAGGTTACAGCAGGATCGCCACTGGCTCCTATTCTGAGCCATATCTGATAACATCTCTAACCACTGTGTCGCAACATCTCTCGGACCCCAGCCAAGGAGTCGTGATGGGCCAACGGAAGCCAGCCCTTTGCAGCTTTCTTTCATATCCCGACACCATATCACGGTTTTACTCTTGTGATTTGTTGTACTTTCGTATCATCATTCTAGTATGTTATGGCAACTGGTCAAAGCACGTCTATATCAAACTATAAATTGACGACAACTAGCACCCTTATAGTTGAATAAATAATGCAATAAACACTAATATAGACCGCCTTGACGTCGAAAATCACATCAAGATATATGAATAAATAGTTATTGAGAAGGAAGAGGGATAAACATTATTACTTTGACAGGATAAAGGTAAGTGTTAAATATAGTATCGTATACATTATTTCCAGTCACAAGTTAATGAATGTCAACGAATAAATCACATGGATGAATTTTAAAGAAACGTTACTCTGAGATTCCAAGAACTAGTCCCAAGATAGATTCGGTTTACTAAAGTTACGTGATTTGATAGCATAAAAACTTGGCACGAAAAAAATATATAAAAAGACCATAGCTAGATGTCGTACCGTTTTTGTGAGACAATTGGCATATGTTAGCCTTACTTGCTCAAAACGATTTTTGTAATACATTAAACAAAGAATAATTATGGTATTCTTACACTACAGTTGCACGAAAATTCAGATATATCGGCTAAATCAGATCTGGCCAAAGCTGAGACCTTATCAAACTATTTCAGAGAAGTCTACACTAATGTTATTGTTAACAATACTTGTTATAACAAAAGCACAGATATACCAGCTATAGAACCTGTGCTACAGTTAGACCTATATTTAAAAATGTTCATTGACAGATCGTATCTAACTACCGAGCTGTCAGTCTGACTAGCATAGTAGTTAATATACTTGAAAAAGCAATTCAAGTTAAGTTATTAAGTCACATGGAACCATTCAATCTGTTGACTCCCGAGCAACACGGGTTTTAAAACAAGCATTCATGCTCAACCAACTTAAATACTGCGAGCAAGGTTTGAACATAAGCTCTAGCTAATTGCCTGTCTGTCGATGTGACATTCACAGACATTAGCAAAGTATTTGAAAAGGTTTCTCATCTAGATCTTGTGAAGAAGCTCTCGAGCTTCGGAATAGCAGGTGCCGTACAAGAGTGGATAAGAAACTTCTTATAGGGCTGAAGACAGGGGGTGAGGGTAAATGGGACACTATGTGAACGGAAGCCCGTTAAAAGTGGCGCACCTCAAGACACTATCTTTGGTCCCCTACTTTTCATTCCCTACGTCAATGAATTGCTCCCCATCGCTTAATTCGTCAACATTGTTGTTTGCGGATGATGTTAAAATCTGGAAGGCAATTAAGAATAAGGTTGATTATTTTTCTCCCCAAGCTAACCTAGACTAACTAGTTAGGTGGTACAAATGGTAGGGCCTAGAAATCAATTCAAGAAAGAGTGGGCTCATGCGCACTGGACACGAAAGTAGTAAACAGTATATTATCGATAGTACATCTCTTCAATGCGTGCAGGACCACAAAGACTTAGGGGTAATAGTAAGTCATGACTTGTAAACAACGATGCATTGCAATGCAACAGCTGCCAAAGGTTTTCGTGCGTTATGGGATCGAAATTGTGGTAGGGTCTTTCCAAACTCTCTTAAGACGAGTGCTTAAAACGTCTAAACGTTTTCTCCTTATCGTGTTGTAGAACGTCAGGTGACGTTTAATTACAACTTGAATGTTAATATGTCTTATCTGTTTGCTCCATCCAGCACTAATAATCTTCGACAACATAACAGGGTTCAAAACTCGCGATCTAATAAACGCAGAGTAGGGGTCCGTTCTTCTCATTGTGTGGTCAATGACTCAAAAACCCTACCCAAACTTGTGGTATTAGCCCCATCAGTGGACGTCTTCAAGGAAAGGCTGAAACCTCATTAAAAAACAAACTGTAAGCATCAACACAGATCCACTAACCTAATAAACCTATTACTAAAAACTGAAAACAGAACTGGGTCAAAGCCAACAACCGCTACACAGTAATTGAAACAGCAGCGAAACATGATTGATGAGACTGAAAAAACCGCGTTTCTGCAGATTCGTAAAATATTTCATCGTAATATCTCGAGCAATACAGTGTTCGTACATCCTAAACTTGAGTACTGAATACAAGTGGCTAGCCCCTGCTTAAAAAAAGACAGTGAGCTTTTGGAAAAGGTTCAGAGTACAACAACTAAGCTGATTCCCGGAATAGCGAAGCTTCTGTATGATGCTCCAGTGGCCAAGCTAAACCTATTCCCGTTGTCATATCGTAGAACTAGAGGCGACTTGATTACAGTTTTCAGATTGCTTAGTGATAAATTTGCACCTGATATGTCCTCACTTTTCTTGTCTTCCAAAACAGAGAATTTACGAGGACACTTCACAAAAGTTCACAAACCCAGAACAAATTACTTGTCAGCTGACTATCGACTGTCCCATCGAATCATTAACGAGTGGAATTCACTAACTCAGCACGTGGTTGAGACTCCATCTGTCGACTCTTTCAAAAGACAGTTGGATAAACTGAAAGACCATCATTGTGAGGACTTACACAGGCCATCGAGCCTCCTGTCCTTTCCAAACTAAAACTTAAAAAAACTCGAACATTGAGGGTTTATGAAGAAATATGCATAACTATGGTACTTTGTTCCAAATCACGAACTGGTCGTAAACAGAGACGTGAACACTCATGCTCTTTATCGGTCGTGAACCCATTTGTTGTGAAAGAAATAGATCAATTTCCATTCAAACAAAAGGCGCCTGATAACGTGTTATATAACATATATGCTCACATGAGCATATGAACTCAAAAGCATGTTGCTAACTATATAAAAACTAGCGCAAGATATAGATTTTACTTCTTTCATCCGAATTTCGAACTTTTTCATCAGGTATAGGAAAATGATTCTTCCTGTTTTATTTGTGTCTAGATTGTAGAAAATGCTTGTCAGACACAGAAAAGGTACATGGATATGGCGTCATACCACAGTAAACAATAAAAATGAGAGAATTTACAGAGTGAAACAAGAATGATTGATGAGAAGCCAGTGGATGGGGTAAATTAAGGGACTAACCAGTTATCTCACGAGCAGTAACCACTTTCCGCGCAGACTGTTGTCCTTGAGTGACGGTGAAAAGTACCTTCAAACACTCAATCGGCAATAGTTAGGACAAAATGTCAATTTATCAGTCCTCACGTATAACGATAGTAGATTGATGGATCTGAATTAATCTCTTAACCTTAATTACTAATGAAAATTACGCTTATCTTTGAAAAAAGAAGTACAGTAGTATTGCTTCTCGTTGAGTTTGTGGAGACAAACCTGACAACCTTATTTCGTAAATAGTTTTCAATGTTATTCGTATTTATTTTGTCAACCTTCCACTGTATGTATACTTAACATTAAATGACTGTAACTGTTGTTTTAGTAAATGACCTTGAACACAATTTTCCGTTGTGCTACTACATAGCGTGACATACCGTTGCCGGCTAACAAATACACTGCTTCTCACACATTCCTCGTTCTATATTCATTTGTGATCGAGTCAACTGAAGTCTAAATCAAATACTATCTACATTTATAGACTTTAATCGGAATATATCACATCCTACGTTGGATTATATCATTGGAGAGTTCGTCAACTCAATCAAAAGCACCAAGCATTCATAATTGCGGATTTACAATACTGGACCTAATCAGAACACGCAACATTTGGTCAATTTAAGTAACGTTCCAAATTTTTATCGTATTTGTAACAATTAACTGGTATATATTAATATTACTAATAACCTTTAGTAAATTTGTCGATATTTTTCATGTTCATATCTGTCTGGTCCACCACAAGTTAATTAACTGTTTTGATCATAAATTACGCATCAAAACTACTGTTTATACTTTAATTGAATCTACTCCAATCAAAGTGATATTGTATTGAGTGTTTTGATTTCCCTTTTGTGTATTTACTGCACCAAAGCATACTTGGTCGAATTTTACTTGATTTATTTAGTTAAGGTTTGGGAATTTTTTTATATATCCTATTTGTGTCACAATTGTAGTTGATTTTCAAGATGACCAGCTCTGCTTATAAATGTGGACAACCATATTGCTTATTCCTTGTGAAGGAAGGGATGCAATGTGATGAGTGCAATAAGTGGTTCCATAAGATGTTGTAGCGGTAAATAAATCTTTAAAATAAATAGCTCTGTAAGTTTTCGACATTGGATGCTGGTCAGATTAATTTTGGTGGACTCACCCAGCTGAAGGCGCTCGGTCATGCGTCCGCACCATAATGCGTGTGGGAACGCCGTGCTCAACGTCTACAGCAACCGCTAACCAGACTAGATCAGACAATTCCGATATATTTACAGTCGTCAAATACAACTTCCGATCTCCTCGATTCTGTCTTTTGATTTCTCTTGATGGGGACGAGTTATATGAGAAGGTGTTACTGCTAAAAGCGTTGTCAGACACTGAATACCTGTGCCATCTTCAATGCGCACCCGATTAAGCCACACTGCATATAAAAGGTGCTCATAGGCCAACTCTCATTGGCTTTGTAGTTTTTGTTGCTCTAGTAAAAAATTACTCATCTAGGAAGCAACTAGCCTCCTGATGTTTACTGGTAAGAAGGTTGATGAGGGCTGTACTGGTAATAGTGGCACTCGTGGCGAAGATTTCGTTAGTGCCGTAAGTGCTGACACGGCGCAAGCCAAACATCTAACTGTACAACCCGTAAATAAACCTTCTACCCCGAAACAATCAATGAGTGACACCTCATTAGATATCGGTGGCCATGTTGCTAAGGCAGCAACCGGTGATCCAGATAAAACTATTACTGTCTAGAGTAGTTCTAACGTAGATGCTACGACTAATGAAATATGGATGGCACGGATACGCAGGAGAGTAAGAAAGACAGATATAACTAGTGACCGTGGACTCTCAGACCATTCCACCAAAGTCCCAAAGTAAAGCCTCGTCAGACATTGTTATGAGTCACTCGCTCGACTCTCATGACACTGTTATAACAAAAACTAATCATAAGATACCAGTAGTTAATATAAAGGATCTAACGTCACAATCGAAAGCTGTGAACACGATTTCGAAAGAAGCTAAACCCCTTTCTAGTTTAATCATTTGGAATCTAGAGGAGTCGAAAGACAATGACTGTGATAATCAGGAGTATTTGAATTGTAGTATAAACTATGAATCCCAGAAATAACGTGATCTGATCAAGAAGTACCAGATAAGCAAGAACGAATGCACTGTATTTGGAATTCGAAATGAAGCTTTCAACAAGTACAAAGGTATCATAACTTCATTCAAACACCATAAATGACCCTGCTAAGAGACATGCACGTGATCTGCAGTTATTGGAATCCGTGGTGAGAAACGTACTGCCTGAAGAGGTTGCAGGGTTAAATATCACGAAAGTAATACGACTCGGTTAACAGGTTGGAAGCGAGACTCAGCCAAGAAGGATCATGAAGCTGGTTCTCGGGAATTTTGAAGAGATATATTATTGAAAAACACACAATATTCGTATCCGACCAGATTAGCCGCTTGAGGATCGAATCAAGTGGAAGAATGCTCTTATGGAGTTGAGAACTCGCAATTTAAATGGCAAAACTAACCTTACCATTAAGGGTTTTCGGGTAATTAGGTCTTGGAAGCCAATGCTTCCGAGGCCTGTATGAGTAGGACGAATGATTACCAAAACACCTTAAATGTGTGCTACACGAACGCCCGTAGTCTTAAAAATAGAACGTCCGACCTAAGTCTGATGGTGGATGTGTTGAATTATGGTCATCTATGATAATAGTATTGCTGTAATAATATGTCTAATCCTAAAATCGCAGACGTTTCATGATATAACTGTCTAATCTATAAAATCTTACGTAGAGGTCATATCATCGTCTACACCAACTCATCGTATCGTAACAATCACCAATACATGATGTAGGACAATCAGAGATAGAACAATATATTTAATATGTATAAAATATATAAGGTAACGTTCAGCAGGTATCACGCCTGCATGGCCGAGCCACGCCATCCAATCAACTTCACTTAATTCAATCTCATTGTTCTTGGCTTTTCCATCGTTAGGTATTTCTCCGCGTTAATTATTGAATATCTATTTTACGAGTAGTCTTGTGTTCAGCTTTGAGGATTGTGTGGTTATTGCCCAATGCCATTACATCACTCTCCCACCAGAATTAACGTGATGTCGGTTCGATACCGAATCGGAAGGGATTGTCGCTCACCGAAGGCTACCATGACTAGTAAGAGTCCTCCGGGCGTTCATAAGCTGAAAGATAAATCAAACAGAAAGCAGCAGCATCTGGTCGGGAAATACACGTGATAATTTTAAAATACCTGTATTCATGCCTAACATGCCTAAAATGAAAAGTTGAGTGAAGATTATTTGGGCTATAAAAAATGGGGTTACAATAATAATAATAAAACGATGTGTGTTAATAGCTGTTGGTTAATCACTTAACCTATAGGTAATAAGTATTTTGTTTCGAAATATTAAAGTAATGAATATTGTAGAAATGTTAATATGAATATTAATTTTGGTTCAAATTATGCAATCAAATAACGATTATGAAGGTACGTTTTCCATATGAGTAGACTTCCATTTACATCTGTACTAGTAGGCTAACTGAAGGAACAAAAGTATTCATAGTAATAATAATAATTTATTCTCAAATAACAGTTTGTTACATGAGGCATGCCAGTTTACAGGTAAGATCAAATTGATACAAATGATACAATATCCACTCTAGTAAATTACATGGCTGGGTTGATAATTTGTAAGATATGAATGTAGATGGTTTTAATCGATACCACAGTTGGCGCGCTTCATGAAGGTTGCGTTGCGAATGTGCAACTGATGGTCAAGGATAAGTCCATTGATTTATTTATTTTATTTCAACACATAGATATTTGTACAAAGTGGCACCAAACACATATGCGCCACACAAATCTCATTCGATATGTGTGAGGGCTTTGATACTGCCCGGCTGCCCAAACCGAAACAGGTGGTTTTCTTAGGGGGCAACACCCGGAGCCTTCGACCTGAGGGTCTGATCCACAAGGCAGTGGAGCATCGTAAGGAGATGCAGTCCCATAGAAGCCGGTGGCCAACAATTGGTTCATTCGCCATTTGTTCCCGCAGGATACTGCAGCCTATGTGCACCATTGGTTTGGAATCCGGTTAAAGCGCCGGACATTCGCTTTTCGTCCTCTTATTTTCGTAAACAACACCCCCGCCACGAGAATGCAGTGAGTAGGACTTCCCTAGCAGAGGCTATATACGCGTGACCATATGAGAGCATTTCGAGAAAGAGAGCGGACTCTCCCCACTCTCGGCCGTACCAGGGCATTTGGGGCTAGGTCCATTGAAGGTGGGAGCTTCTAAATGTCGCAAGCTTATGTCCCTTTGGGATGTCTAACACATTGAGGATGGTGCAGGATGAAATCTTCCGTATCATATCACAAGGGGGCTGATAGAGGGAGCAAGTAAAAGAAAGGACGAGAGGCAGAGTAGCCAATATTCATGAAGGAATGTTTAAGGTATGATTACTCAGTCTAATTTTCTTTTATTAAGGTATTTGTTAAGAAGGAGCATTTCAATAGGTTAAAGAAAATACCATGGAGAAGAATTACAACTAACGTTCCAGTTAGTTTGATACGGTTTATTTAGTTACGGGGAGATTTTCTCAACCTCATTTTTACTTGACCGTGATAGAATTTGGTAATACTACAAATACACATGAAAGGCTATCAAAAAAAAATTTAAATACGTGAGTGATAATTATATGAGCCTTGGTAAGATAGCTGAGGACAAATCGTTAAACATGAGTGTATTCGTACGAGACATGCTCTAGATTCAATGTTCTGCGTCGCCATAGACTGTTTATTTACATTTATACCTGCCGGGTGATGGTGCATACAAGTTAGTTGCAAGTATGCAGTTTATCATAAGGCGGAATAAGATTTGATTGAGATATAGTGGTTATAAGTTATTGAAATTAGTTTAGCCTATATGTTACATTACTAGGTGATGTGGTGCTGCAAGATAATAATAATAATAATAATTTATTCTCAAATAACAGTTTGTTACATGAGGCATGCCAGTTTACAGGTAAGATCAAATTGATACAAATGATACAATATACAGT